CTGGCTATTGCTAGCTAAATTAAAACCCTTACTTTCTTCTCATATCTGTTTATGCTGTATCTTCTCCAGTTCCCGGATCGGATTGTCAACAAAGAGAACACGTGACTTCAACTACGACCACGGGGCCGCACTCATGCCTTCGACACTGTCCATATAGGCATGGTCCTCAATTCGATTGCCTTAAGGATGATCCTTCTTTGAGACCATGAGAGGTGTATTAACCTCTTTAGTTGGTCACCCATCAAAACAATATCTGTGCCGTTTGCCCTTTGGGCCACCAAATTCCTCCAAGAATTCTACCATGATTTCCACCCTTTGGAGTTGGAGGGCACATTCGGTGGGCTWCACTGCCCGAGGAAATTGGCACGGGACGGAGTCCTCCAGACACATAAAGCACTTCAAACTGTTGGCAGTCAAAGAGCCCTTTTTAGATATTTGAATCATCGTGGTTGGGGCCTGTAGTCCACTTACTCAAGCTTACAGCATGGCTTGTAATTCCACCCTATCGGGTTTGGATGTAAACCCTCCGCAAACGGTTGTGTCCATCATAAAAGCGGCTCACAGACCCTCCACAAAAAGATCTTACATCTTTAAGTGGAACAAATTCAGTAATTTTGCCAWATCAAGGAATTACGAACCGGAGGACGCTCCGATCTCGGTAGTYTTGGAATTTTTAGCTACTCTTTGTGACGCTGGCCTTTCAAACTCCTCGTTGAAATGTTATCTGYCAGCCATTTCATGGTTCAGGGGGGGAAAGGGTCTACCTTCTTGTTTTGTTGACCCTTTGGTTAAGTGTTTCTTAAGAGGTCTACAAAATGTCAGACCTTCTGTAGCACATATTGCTCCGTCCTGGAGCTTGGAGCTTGTACTTTCCAGTTTAATGAAGCCCCCCTTTGAACCTATGGCTTCAGCGGATTTAGGGCCAATGGCTTGGAAGGTGGTGTTCCTAGTAGCCATAACCTCGGCCAGACGAGCGAGTGAGTTATGCGCCTTAAGAGTGGATCCTCCTTATCTGAAGTTTCATAGTGATAAGGTAGTGTTGCACACGGATGTGGCATTTTTACCTAAGGTTGCCACCAGATTTCATATTTCCCAAGACTTGGTTTTGCCAGCATTTTTCCAGAACCCTGAGACCCCCCTGGAAAAGGGATTGCATTGTTTGGATGTTAGAAGGGCATTGGCATTTTATGTACACAGAACAGCTGAATTCAGGAGATCCCCTAGGCTCCTTGTGAAATATCGCAGGGATACCAGGGGACTTCCAGTTTAATCACAACGTTTCTCYAGCTTACYACGTTTCTCAAGCTTACAGCATGGCTTGTAATTCCACCCTATCGGGTTTGGATCAGCCTGGATTGTGTCAACAATTCGTACTTGTTACAGATTGACTGGCAAAGAATTGCCAGAACAAGTCAGGGGTCACTCTACGAGAACAGTGGCTGCTTCAGCTGCTTTTATGAAAGGTGTCCCTTTGGACACCATTTGCAGAGTGGCTATTTGGGCCTCTCCTACTACTTTTGTCTCCCATTATAAGGTAGACAGAGTATCACGGAGAGAGACTAATTTTGGTAGAGCGGTGCTTTTTTCGGCGGTGGCATGACCCCACCAGCCAGAATTATAGCTCGCTAGTCTACCACAATGTGCGATTCGCAGTTAACTACGACAGGAAATGAAAGGTTGCTTACCTGTAACCATGGTTTCCTGAGTAGTTACCTGCGAATTCGCACATACCCTCCCTCCTCCCCTCGAGTGTCATGCCACACCTTCTGGCTGCTTTGCGGCGGAAGAGGAATGGAGGCTGGCTCTTCTCTGGGGCTTATATACTCGAGTGGGGGGGGGGGTGGGGCCTGAGGGGGATACATTGATTTTAAGCTTCTAGAAGGTTCCGAAGTTGGCCTGCGCTGGCGCAGGAATACCACAATGTGCGAATTCGCAGGTAACTACTCAGGAAACCATGGTTACAGGTAAGCAACCTTTCAGTCACGGAGCATTGTCTTTTCTCTCTGTTATGAAAACGTTTTAGACAGTTGAATAAATCAGAAGTGCAACTATGTTATGCATTGTAATATGCTAAATACACGAAAATACATAGGATAAATCCTGTTTCTTTGAGTTTTCTATTATTAATAATAATAATATTATTGTTATTATTATTATTAGATYCACAACAATATTAGTACACAGCAAACAAGACCACTATGCTGGCTTTTGTATTCGATCACACGTCGGACGCTTCCTAAGTGTCTAGTACTGTGTGATGTATCAGCGAATAGTCATGCAGATCTGAGTAGGGTGGCCTTTTGCAGCTGACAGATAGTAATTTTGTCATCACCTGTTGTTTTTAAGTGCAGGCCAAGGTCTTTAGGCACTGCACCTAGTATGGCAGTCACCACTGGGACCACCTTTACTGGCTTGTGCCAGAGTCTTTGCAGTTCTATCTTTAAATCCTCATATCATGTAAGCTTTTCTAGTTGCTTCTCATCAATTGTGCTGTCACCTGGAATTGCAACATTGACAATCTATACTTTGTTTTTCCTCACAATCATGAGGTCAGGAGTATTGTGCTCCAAAACTCTATCAGTCTGAATTCAGATGTCTCAGAGTGGGTTGACGTGTCCATATTATATTATTATTATTATTATTATTATTATTATTATTATTATTATTATATTATTATTATTAGTAGTAGTAGTAGTAGTAGTAGTAGTAGTAAATTATTATTATTATTCTCATATTAGTTAAAGCCATGCAAATTATTTTCCTACTCGAACTGTGTATTGAATGTGTTTGAGAGAAAATTAAAACCAAGCTTTTATACAGCTATTGTGGTTTATATCCTCCATTAGCTATTGGTTATGATTGATATGGCTGAACCAAGGCATTTTGCTGCCTAAGTTCAAGGAGAAAATAGTACTCTAATTTTATGGAGAATCCAACAGGCTGCTGGTTGAACACTGGTAAAAGCAGATTGTTGTGTGCTGTCCCTGAGGCTATTTTAGCAAGCCCAGAAGGAATGTGGGAGCACAGTGTATGCATATGTGTGCTTGCATGTATTTACACCACCATTGCCTGTTGCCCTTATTATTCCTAGTGGCAGAGTCAACCCTTAGAATATTCTTCCTATTGGCAAGGTCAACCTTCTGTATAATGTAAAGAATTAGAAATATCTTTGAGATGTACTCATACATGAAAGCTAGTTTTCTTCTCTTGGAACAGGAAAAAGTAGCAGATAATGGTATTGTTGATGAGCAGAGGGATTTTGAGATGGTAATTGCAATTGGTTGTGGTGGCATGAACATATAATGTTCATAAATATCATAACTTTTCAACTTATTCACAACATAATGCCCACAAAGTGAGGAATGGAACAGCTGAACCGGTTGTATAGGGCAAATTGAGAACTAATGTGATGGGGGGAAAGAAGGAGGGAAGGAACAAGGAGGCCAGAGAAGGACGTGTAACAGATTGAGGGGCAAGGGCCCAAGGTGAAGAAACTGGGAAAGTGTCCATTAGAAAACATAATAGAGATCAAATGGGTGTGAACTGTTAACAGGAAGAAGTTAGAAAAAGAAGCTGGAAAAAAACTGCTGGATCATGACCATGGAAATAAAGAAAGCATGCAAAATTAACTTCTAGGATGGTTGATATTGGTGTGATATGTTAGTTTGCCATATTTGCTGTGCATTATCCTGGATACTTTTGTGAATATGGAAAGAATGCATATTTGAAACATCTCTCTGGTAGTACTGTAAATGAGATGGATCCAGAGGAAGCCTTCGCTCATAATAATTTAGGGATGGTTGATGTGCTCTTTAGTGCTTTGGGTTTTTTTTTTTTTTTTTGCTACTTTCCGTGCAAGTTCAGCCACATGTTGTTGTAACGATGTTGAGAATAAGCGTTGTTCTTCTTTTTCTCGCCTCTGAGGGGGTGGCTGGCGAGGCAGATTGGGTTGGGCAATAAATTCTATAGACATGAAAGCTACTGTGGAGGCAATTTAAAAGAATATTGATGAGATATCTGGAAGATCTTCTGAGACTTCTAGTCATTGATTTATGACAGGGCCTTTACAGTAAGGTGGATTCAAGGTGAGCAGTTTTTGTTATTGTTGAGATAGATGGGATCCTGTGTGATGCTTTCTCCTACAGACTACTAAACAGAAACAGTGTTACTTGCTACTCAGCTATGGAAGCATGACCATTCTGTTTCATACTATGTTACAATCTTTTATATTGTGAAGTTTGACACCCTCCCATCGTAGTGGCTTTTTTCAAACCAACATTTTGGGAATTAGGTCATGAAAGTTGGAGTTCTAATAGCATAAAATTTGACTGTGAAATCCCTGGAAGATTTCATATTGACACACTTGCAACATTGGTTCATCAATATGTTTTGATAGCTTTCCTATCTGACTGCAGCTTTGTTTTGGATGTTGCAGGGTGGAATTAAATGCTTTCCAATGACCTCAATCTAATTATTATTCCCAGCTAGTGTAGACCCATTGGATTAAGTCAAACCAACATTTCTACGATCGAAGAGGACTATTCTAACTGGGATTAGCCATTGGATTGAGGCCTACATCTGCAGAGCATATTATGGCCATATTCGGAATTACGCATAAGATTTTTTGAAGTATTGAGGATGGAATCTGATAGACAGTTGTTTGTAATGTATAACATTTACTATTCTTGCATAATGTAAGAGAATTTCAATCTATTGTCAGCTCTAGCACACAAATAAGGAAGGGTTATGGCCCTTCAAGTAAAGTTCATTTACTGACTTCTAAGTTATTTTAACCTTGTCCTTATGATGGACTATTGACTAATAACCTTGAAAAGTGGCTCCTTAACACAAACAACTCTTGGTAATTTTGCATTTTTTTCTGTAGCAAAACTGGATTTTAAATCAAAACATCACCACTGTTGAATGTACTTCTTAGTTTTGTAGCATTTGTCATTCATCGGTAACTATGACAATCTTGAACTGCATATTTTGCTTAACAGGTTGCCTTTGCCTCCAGGAGCCTTTTTGGGTCTTTGGAAAAATGAGGAGATTTACAAGGAATTATATTTTCAAAAATTTCCGGTGAGAACTAAAAATATAATTAAATACCTCTGGTACTTTGGATTAATTCAACAGACGAGGTGGTCTATGAACTAGTGCAAGTCTATGAGCTTGGCTGTTAGTTTTCAGTGAATTTTCAGAAAAGAAAGAAACAAATGTAGCCACTATGCAAAAATGTGGTACCCGTCCCTGGAAATATTTGGGAAAAATTGCAAGTACCCATGTCATAAAGCCCAAGAAGCATTTCTGAAGATTATGGAATGCTGTACTCTCCTTAGCTTTTTAGCCTAGTACCCCTGAAATTTCTTTGTTTAGTGCACCTTTGCAGCATTTGAGTTTATTTTTCCATAGATGTTTGTGAAGTGTTTTCAGTGTTGAATCTTTGTGTTTCTAGAATGGTTATATATTTAAACCATTATCATTTGGTGATTTCCCTTTGCCCACCTCTCCTTACAGCTCAGACGAGTTATAGCATTACTAAAACATAAACACATATTCATTTTGAAACATTCCGTAAAATACACATATTAAAACATACCTCCATATTATAATAGAAAACATGTTTGTCTTGGAAAAAAAACAGTCTTATTTCCTTTATCTTTTTGGGGGCGGTATCTGTATAGCACTTGAGAACCCCAAATCCCCCATCCTTCTAGATTCAGGAAGAAAAAAAAACTACAAAAGATTTTTGGTGCGAAAATGTATTGGAATGTCATTTTGCTCCATCCCTATTCCTCAAAATCATTTCAAATGGCTTTTGGAAATAATTGCAATATTACTTTTGGTTCTGGGTAATGAGAGATGTGTGGGAATGGGGGAATGCAAAGAGAAAGATCTCTGGCCCTCTCTTTGTACTTGTCCATATCAGAATTGGGGATTATAACACCTATGTTAAAAAAGAACATTGGGATGAGTAAAGATTATGACAAAAGGGATACTTTGGGATACTTGTACTGATAATAAATGATGAAATAAGATTCTACATTTAATGCTCTGACAATACCATTTCATTTTCCTGCTTTTATTTTCAGGGATACTACGATACTATGGATGCAGGTTACATGGATGAAGAGGGCTATTTGTATGTCATGTCTCGAGTGGATGATGTGATCAATGTTGCAGGCCACAGAATTTCGGCAGGTGCACTTGAGGAGGTAAGTACAATGGTAATACAAATGCCAATAAAATGAAAACTCTGATGAAGATTTTAAATCTTCAGTGCAATCTCCATCTTGTGACTTCTTAGAAATCTTTTTAAGGTAGATATGATGGTCAAGATTTTATTGCTGGATTTTAATTTTGAATACAACAAAATTTGTGGAAAGCTGTTTAAGCTTCTCCATATAGTGTTTCCTTAAATATAAAATCAAGATTAAATCAGCAAAAACTCACAGTGAACCTATTTAGAAAGACACTGGTTATTTCAGTAGATGCTTTCAGATTAATAGGGATAATACTTCTTTGATACATATGATGTGGTCATATCTTGAAGTGGCTTCTCTTTGGTTGGAAGCTACAACACATATTCATTTTTATTTTAGAGAATTGGTTCAAAGTTTGCAGATATTTAAGCATGGTTAAAACTATTTTCCTGTGACATGGATAGTGTAAATGAATTGTTCATACCTCATACCCTTTCAGTTATAGGATTCAGCCATACACAGCTTAACCGGTTGTTGTTTGATCATCAGTGACATTATGAACGGCGCTCGTTTCTGGTTCTCTCCCCCCCCCCCCATTTTATTCTTGTTGTATTAGCATTAAAATTAAAATAACAAAAGGCACAAAGGACAAAAGATTCACATAAACCAAGGCAAAAAGGAAGAAAAAGGAATGAGCAACAGTGTCAAATGCAAAGGAAAGATCAAGAACAGCAAGGAAGATATTTAGAAAGGGAAAAAATAATGAGAAAGGCTGAACCAAATGAATCAACGTTTTAAAGGGAAATTAGCATCAAAATAGTCATGAAAACAGAGTTGGAAGTAGACTTAATCATGCTTTGGATAAACCCTGTGGCACAGATCAAACTGTTGACATTGCATGAAACTATGTGAGGAGAGCTAAGAGGAAGTGATTCCTCACTTTGCAGCTCCCAAACACCCTTAATATCTTCTCCTGGAATCAGGGACACCATTCAGAGCAGACCATTTGGTGTTATAGAGAACTGGAAAAAGAAACAGTCCTGCCACAAATGTGAGGAGGCTGCTTGGGGAATCAGCTCCTTACACCTTTTCCCCCCATCAGTGTATGTACACTTATTGGATCTCGGCTATCAGACTCAAGGGAACATTTGAGGACAAACTTATATAGTTTCTCTATTCTGGCAATCTTATTATTCACCCTATTTATACCCCGCTTTTCTTAACTCAAGGCGGCTTACATATTGGCCATTATTCAGTGCCTTAGATCTACAAACGATTTTAATGACATTAAAATTAAAATTAAAATTAATACATATTAAAGAGTGAAAAATATTACATTCAATATTAAAATCATGCCATTCATCATAGTCTTAGTTTTTTGGAGAAAAATAATGCAAAGTTATAAAGTTTTAAATAAATTATATTTAACTATAAGCGCTAGAAAGAGTTCTCAGACCTTGTCTCTTCTGCTTCAGGGAAAATATGTCTTAATTTTTTACAGCCTCTTAATTTTTACAGCATAATTGTGTCTTCATTTTGACAAACAGGTGGTAAATTGCTGTCAATACAAATGTTTCAGTGAAAAGACCTTGAATCATTTCTGTATGTCACTGGCCTTAATTTTGGAATCTCACAAAATGAAAGGTGTAAAATTGCAGGTCACAAATGTAACACCATCTAACTTTGACAGTTGGTTTTTGGTAGTCAATAGTACTGTGTTATGTATGGAAACTGAATCACCATAGGCACATCATAGTATGGATATATGCAAGCTGCCATGCAAACCCAACTGCAATATTAGAGCCTTTCAAATCACAGGATTTCTGCATTGTGGCTAGTTTCTTGGCTAATTTCATTGTAATTCTGAAAGCTTTCCATGGCATTGAAATTGGAAACAGGATATAACTTCTGGATTTCAAGATCCTTTTTACTGACAATGTGTTCACTATAATATGTTCATTCAGGGCTTTCTTTCTCTGTTTTTACACCAGGCCGTCTTGACCCATCGTGATGTGGCAGATTGTGCGGTTGTTGGCCAGGAAGACTCTTTAAAGGGCCATGTACCATTGGCGTTGTGTGTCTTGAGAAATGGTGAGACAGTCTGTTAATGGAGGCAAAATCCAGCTGTGTGATTGGTGTTCAAGCTCATACCTTGACATGTCTATGACCTTGAGGTGGCTAACAGAATTGTAACCATAGGAACAGACAAAACCACTTAGGAAAACTATACTCTTATATTTCTTATCAGGTGTGAAGGCTGAAGAAGAAAAGCTCTTGGAAGAAATTGTTAAGAGAGTTAGAGAAAATATTGGCCCCGTGGCAGCATTTCGGAAAGCAGTATTTGTGAAACAGCTACCGAAGACTCGTTCTGGCAAGATCCCGCGGTCAGCTCTTTCTTCTCTAGTGAATGGAAAACCATACAAGGTGAAAAGCAGCATTCAGCTACTGCAGTGATCATAGATAATACTTTTACTTAATATTGTTCTTCTGCACAGTGCTCTTTGTAAGTTTGTAGTCTTAACACCATGCTCCTAAAGTTATGTCTTAACTTTTGTGGTACATTCACATGACTCCTTGTGAAGCAAAACCATTGCATTGACTCATTCAGCGATTAAAAATGTACCTTTCCATAGCTGAGGACCCTTCCACACAGCCATATAACCCAGAATCTCAAGGCAGAAAATCCTACAATATCTGCTTTGAACTGGGTTGTCTGAGTCCACACTGCCATATAATCCAGTTCAAAGTAGAAAATGTGGAGTTTTATTCAGCTCGTGGGAAGGGGCCTGACTTAATAAAGCTTAGTTGAACAACTTTGCTATTTCAGGTGGCTCATAACTTTCTCACACTATTATACTCATCACATTAGTCTGAAATCATATTTGTATTAAAAACAATGAAGTGATGATTGCAGTCCATCGCAAGAAGGTATTTTGTGGCTTTTAAATACTATTTTTTGAAGCACAAATAGTGTGATTTCAGCAAAGCAGTTAAAATCCTAATGTCTTGATTTCTCATTTCCTCAGATAAGTCCAACCATTGAGGACCCTGCTGTGTTTAAGCATGTTGAAGAAGTGCTGAAGACTAAGCTGAAGTAACAGCTTTTCAAATGTGAGTAATACCTGGTATATCAGGTAAGTCTAATAACTGCAAAAATTATTAGACTTAGTATAATGCTACAGTGATACATACAAATGTAACTTCGTAGTGATTTTTAAATGAAGGATCTTTTTTTGTATTAAGGCAGTAGTGTAAATGGAAAGTTTATAGCTTGCACACAGTTTGAAACCTACGATAAATTATAAAGCAGGAGGTGATGCCATGGGGCATGTTGTGCCAAAATTAAACACTTTTAAGTCCCATCAATCTTACTGTGTGTTTAATTATACTGCCATATTGTTATAGTCATTCCCCAAAAGAAGCCTTTTCAGTAGCTCAGTTCTGAGAAGTAAAATTACTTCTGGTGTTAGGAAAACACAAACATTTTCTATTACTGCAAAAAAAATGAAGACAAGAGAATATTTAAAAGGAAAACCCCTCTGCTCACTATTGGGCACAGAAATACAGCAGGATAAAGCTTTTCTAAGTTTGATTGTCATACTTTGTTCCTTGAAACCAGAGACTGGGAGGACTTTCAAAGCCTCGCAATTCCAGACTACAGATGGATAACAGCTCTGATTGGATTGGCTTTCTAGAGTTGCCATTTATATGCTAGATCACAGCTGTGCCATTTGCCTGTGATTTAGGATGATGATAATAGGAGCGGTCATTGGCTGCATTGGTTTGGCAGCAGCTTGAGTTCCTATGCGAGCCTCAGGACCTCCTATCTTGTAAATAATTACTGCCATTGTGATTTTTCACTCTTTTATTAAAGGAGCTCATACTGTTCCTTTCCCTTCTATAGGTAGATTGTATTTTTTCGGTGCAGATGATCACCTTATGTAGTTAGAGAATGGTGAAAAAATCCCAACCATAGTATATTCACTGAATCCCTGGTAATTACATAGATACTGATTCACCAATCAAGATTGATTCAAAGAGTTTGCTGTCATTGGGACTAGCAGTAAGGTCAGGCCAGAGTTGAGACTCTTTCAAAAGGGAAATTTGCCATAGCATATGGGAACTAATTAATTCCTCATATCAACATCTCTCTACACATCAGTGGAAATATTTCCTCATGTAGCCTTGCTTGGTTGTTGTCCATCTCACTTACATAATGAGTACATTAAAAAATATATATCCCCTCTACTTATCAGAGGTCTGGGAAACAAGAACGTGATAAACACTCTCCTCAAGTGACAGGTATCCAGTTGTAAAATTCTTCCCCTTTGTAAATCACAAATTTGTAGCCAACTACTTCTTAGATATTCCGTTTGGAAACACATTACAAGAAAGAGAGAATAATGCTAGGCTTTTCCAGGTAATGAAACCAGATGGTGATGCTGAACACACACACCCACACACACACATGGACACACATATACACACGCCAGTTAAAATAATTCCAGTTTTGAATGTCACTTTTTAAGTTCCTTGTGTAATTTTTTGGGTGAATATGGCTGTCAGTGCTGACATTTAATGATAAAACAGTGAACTTTTCCTTTGCCTTAAAACCACTGTGCAGTCTTGAGAAAGACCCTGCATCTTTCTGGTCTTTTTGCTGAATTAAAAAAGATGTATTATGTTTCTTGTCATTGGCTATGCTAATTAGGGCTACTGGGAGTTGTCTCTTCCAACTCTGTGCTTCTACATATTGAGGCTGATGGTTTCTTAAGCACATGTAGTTGGAGAAATAGTGCGTGGGCAGGGGTATGTATAAAAATTAACATCTGACCTTGAGGAGGTGGGAATGTCTTCCAGTGCAAATTTCAAAAGCATGTGTGTCTAAAAGGTCATTGGAACAGAAATCTCACCAGAATGCTGCTTCCCAAAATCTTTTACAGCTATGCCTAAAACTTTTGCTTTATAACTATTTGACTATTACTAAGGCTTCAATGATTACATCATTATACTGTGCAGTAATCACTGGGTGAATCCAGTGTCCTGGTGGCCATTTCTAAAATCCATTTTTGCACAAAAACATGCACTGGAGGATTTTTGCTGCATCTAAAGCGGCACATTCATTCTGCCACCTTGTGGCAGACTGCAACAGTGTCTTTCAGAGCACATTCTCCTCTCTTTTTAATCAAAAATGTTATGTTTAGCATTGCTTCAGGGATGAATATAATCTCTAAAGTTGTACTTGAAACGATGGCACATGCAGCCCTATCACAGACCGAACACATAAAACAGCACTGAATTTCTTTTATTGACAACAGGGGAGAAAATCTGTCACTGTTTGGTTAACCGAAGTCTGCTTTAAATAAATAAAAAATACGCAATAAAACAAATGTACGTGCAGATGTTCAGATCAGCCTGCTGAAAGGAATAACCAAAAGACAGGCGTTAGGCTAAATCAGGCAGCAGGAGTTTAGCAAATAGTAGATAAATGACATACTTAACTAGGTCTTACTTTGGAACTTCCCATATAAACAAAGAATAAACATCAATAACACCACCAAAGAAAGCCACATCAGATAATAAGTTTCTCCTCTAAACTTTTATACATTATACATTAACCGTTCTGTCTTTCAGTTATTTCCTCTGTTAAGTTTGACTTCAGAGAAGTCTCAGCAAGGCCATTAGATAAAATCATAACATTAGACAAGTAACTGCCTAATACCCCTATTACAAGGAAGAAATGGAGGGCATATTTTTAAATAACGGAACAGCTGAAGATCAGATTTATTTTCCCTTGATGTTTTGTCTCATGCCAGTGCTGGTTAGCCTGTGAAGGATTTGGAAGGAAAAAAGGTGATTTATAGCAAAGCTAAATTGCTTCTTGGTCCACAAGTAGCCAATGGCAAGAATGTCTCTTGTTAATTCCCTGTCATAGTATTGGACTTATGCAAACAGTTTTTCTTCATCTTGAGTTTAAAAAGAAGAGCCGTCACAGTGCTTTTCTACAGGTAAATGGAACAATTTTGTTTGTCCTTTATAGGTCCAGGGTTTGGTTTTTTTTGGCTCAAGTTCCACGTTTTGATCTTTCTGTTAGAAATTGTCAGAGGCAGGTGTTAAGCTTCAAATATTGACAGATTCGTTAAAAAGTAGGAAGTTGTTGAAGCATCGGATAACTTTGCTAAAGATATCGAATGTACTTTGCTACAATTCAAAACTGTAAAAATGGTGGAATGGAAAGATACAAACAGCATTGTTTGACACTCTCTTGTCAAGTTTTTGCACTAGGACCCCATGTACTATAGATTTAATTCTTTAAAAAATCATATTTATATCCATTTACATGAGACTTACACATATTAAAAGAAATGCATACACGGTAAATACATAAATTCTAGTATATTACAATGAAACAGATGAGACGAGTTTAAAAATGAGTGCCTCTTTTTGGTAAAAGTGAGATTTATCCACTTTGGCCAAATTTAAAATGAGACATTGGGGTTTATTTTTAAAAACTAATCAATAGCTATTGTTTTATTGAACTATCCAATGGGTGCATTCTGTCCAGTACTGTCACTACACTTTTATTCTGTCGTTTCAGTGGGGTTTGTATCCAAAACCTACATAAGCCCCATGGAAACAAATATGAGCTGTGTGACCATAATACTTGACAGGTTGCATGTTATAACTTAATATGTAACAAGATCACCACACATTTTTATCTGATAAACATCTATGTTTTCTTCCCTATTACCCTGTTCTTGGAATAAAAAGCTTCTTTTCTTAAGATGGTGGTAGTGCACTTCAGGTAAAGTAGAAGAAAAAGGTGGCATCTAGAGAGGGAAAAAATAGTACAGTCGGTTAATAAATCTCTTGGCAACATTCAATTACACACACTTATTTACTTGTAAGATTAATAATTATGGCAGAAAAACTGGAACCATTAAGAGAAGAGGACTGGTGACCAATGGAAGCATGGGCCAGAAAAGATGCACTGTGTTTTGTCTAGAGACTTATAATTGTTGATGATGATGCTATGGGACATTAAAAGTGTATGGAGCAGAATCATGTATGGAAATTACGAATGTGTAACCCTAAGGCAGTGGCTCTCAACCTGTGGGTCCCCAGGTTTACAACTCCCAGAATTCTCAGCCTATTTACCAGCTGTTGGGATTTCTGAGAGTTGAAGGCCAAAACATCTGGGGATCTAGGTTGAGAACCACTTCCCTAAGGACTACAGAGGGACAAAGAATTCCCTGAACTCCACATACCAGGAAGCAGCTGCTGCAATTGACACAGAGCCTATTTATTTCCCTATTTATTGGAAAGCAGCTGACTGCCGTCTCAGCCTCCCCCCCTCTTTAAACACACAAGTGATTTCCAGTACAAGGGGGATTGTGACAAGGACCCTATTTCTGTCTCTTGCAATGCCTTTGCTCACAGGAAGCCAACTGTTTCTCAAGCAATAAAGGAACAGGTTCCTGTTGACTGCAGTAGCTGCCGCCCAGTAAGTGGAGATTTGGTGGGAGGAGCTACATGGCACCCTAATGTTGGTGCTTACACATACAAAAAGTCCATATAGGATTCTGGCCATAGGAACAACCCCTTAAGCTATCTCTGCCAACTTATATAGATCTTTTTTTCATGCAGAGCAATAGTGTACATATTAGGAAATATATATAATGTTATTTAGCTATCAGATCAAGACATTCTGAAGTCTATCTTTCGTATAATGTAAAACTCTAAAGCAAAGGTGTTACTGGATTCAGGATGCAGTCCTCTTGTGTAGAATCCCAATTGAAAGAAGGTAAAATGAGACACAGGTTGAGCATATTACATATTCAGCATATCCAGAATTCTGAAATCCTCCAAAATAGTCCACATTAGTGATTAGATAGAAACAGCTTTGGTTTCTGATGTTTCAGTATAGTTTAATATGGTTTTGTGTACAACGTTTTTAAAGACATTGTGTATACAATTACTTTCCAGTTATATTTATAAGGCATCCATGAAACAAATTAATTTCATGTTTAGATTTGGGTCCCATATGCAAATATGGTCATTCCAAAATTGAAACACTTCTGATTTCAAGCACTTTAGATAAGGAATACTCAGCTTGTATTTAGCAGGGCTGTTAATTAAGAGCTTTGGCTAATTAGTGTAAGGTTTGGGGCACAATCCAACATTTAACAGTTGGTGTAATATTGTGTCTGTGAGGATAGGCTGCTTCCAAGGGAAAATTGTCACAAAAAAAATCAACATTTGATGGCAGTAGTATTGAGTTGCAAATTACTGTCTTTGCCATTGTATTGAACTTATGGGGTCACCCATAGAACTACTCCCCTCTCATTTATAACTTGAGTCATCCTAATTCTAGCAAATTGGTATCCTGGTGGCCAGCGGACATGCCCCTGGGTTGCCTTTAATATATTATTTTGGCCTACAGAGTGCAGTTGGGATGTTCTATTTTTGTTTTCAGATTCCCATGCAATCACGGAGTCCTTGTAATACCAGCAGATTAGGTAATCATAGGTTTGATGCCTACAGACGTGGCCTCTTTTCCTTTCTGAACCTTTAAATCCTCTAGAGACATACAGCCTTGCACCCTTTTTGTGTTAAACAACTGCCTGTGTAACTCTGTTTGCATGACATTCTAACCCGGTGTATTGTCTTTCTGATTTTGTTTAGTATTTCTGAAGGAAAGAAAAGCAATGATTTTAATTAGTTTGAAATTGACGCCAAACTACACATTGACATTAGTGACCTGTTTAAACAAGTGTCTTTAATCTCTTCCCTCTTGGTTTGGAGGAAAAGCAGCCATACCAGTTTTCTGTATAATTTCCCCCACTTCCTCCTAATAGCATTGGTCTCCCAGAGTACTACTGCCTGCAATGTTCCTAGGGGAAATGTGAGCCAGGCAGGAAGCAATCGTCATGCAAAAACTAGAATAAGAATGATTTGAGTAAGTCCCTGTTCTAGATGGAAACCCTGGTTGTTGTTGGTTTCCTTCATAATTATACTGGTAGAGTTGAACCACCGTTAGTTTAATATCCCAGCAAGTAGCTTTTTTAAAAATAAAAAATCTCTATTTGACAGACACAATCCACAATCCAGATGTGCTTTGAGAAGAGAAATCATGCCAGCTGTTGCCTAAAAGAGAAGGCAGGTGCTTAAAATAGCAGGAAGATAGGTCTCATTGAGAAGAAATCATGGTGAAAAACAAAGCTGCTATGAATCCTGTGTTCTCAGAAATTGGATGGACAAAAGCAATCACTCTAACAAAGGTTGTGTGAAAACTCAGGCATTTGGAGAAAGAAAGGAAATGAGTTTAGAGGGAATGCATCATAGAGGCAGAACCAATTCCATAACTATTTAAACTGCAAGAGAAAATTCTCCATTGCCTTTTAAAGATGCTGTGGGGAGCTGTGATAGCATCTTTAACTCCTTTAGGAAAACCTGAGATATGCAAAATATCTGCTTTATGGATTGATTGATTGATTTATTTATTTTATGTCAAAAGCATTTCACAAATAAATTAGTTTAAAAATGATCAGATAAAGGGATCACAGGCAGCTAAATAATTTTAGACCAAAAATTGGCAACTGCGACTGCATTGTCTGTAGCTTTAAACAGTTCTTCCTCTATGCGTGAGGCAGGGCATTGTGTTCAAGCATACAGATGCTGAGTTGTTTGTTCTGCTCCACAGTCGCAAAAGGCGGAGGATCCTTCTAGGTAGTGCCATTTTGCTAGGTTATCTTTTGATCTGCCAACTTCACTTCTGAGTCTGTTCAGAAACTTCCAAGTTGTCCATTCTTGGTTTGCCTCTGAAGGAAGACTCTCTTGGGCACTATCCAGTTGGAATTGCATGATTTTGCTGCCCACAGGGATATTCTTGCTGCTGCTGAAGGGACATTTAGAGGAGTGGTGGTTCTCATGAAAATTTTCCATGATTTAAGTCTACTGGGAGGAGGCTGATAGCCATTCAGTGGGTGGCTTTCACAGTGCTTTTTGGATTATTTGTTAACTTGAAATCCTGATCAGAGGTAGCCAAGTTCATTTAACTCTCTGCTTAAATTAGCAGTTGAAGTTGCTGGAATAAAATAGAATAATTAGCACCATTTGAGTTGCTATGCTGAAATGTTAATGTGATTCCGGAATGGCAGCAATATTGTGTGAATAGACAGGTTTTAACATTTACTGCCTCCAACCAGCTCCCACTATAAATTATAAAATAAAGTTTAGAGCTCTAACATATCCCACAAATCGGTTGTGCTAGACCTGGTCATAGAGGTGGCAAATGTGTGGGTGCAGCTGTACTGCTTTGGACTGCCAATAAGGGCTCATGTTCCATTGTAGATTTTAAAAGTCTAAGAAGTTGCAGGCTTTGTCAAAAATTCTCAGCGGGCTGAAGATTTCCCAGTTGTTTTAGTTTCCATACAAAATTATTCATCTTCCTTAACAGAAACATGATGAATAGTAGAACATCCTTAAAACACTGAAGTGTTAGACATTTAACCTTTGGTAAACCTGTAGAAATTGAAGCAGTGCACTTTTCATGCATGTTGCAAATTGTTGCATGGAATTCAGCTATGAATTTTACAGGGTTTTGCATAAACTAAAATGTGCCATTTCTATGCTTGGTGTGAACAGTTCCAAATTGGTAGGGACAGCATTTCTCTATACCCGTTTCACATTGATTCTATCAGCTCCTTGAATGAAGTCCTCAAATATTCCCCAATGGGAGTTTATACATATGTATGGAGGCATATTTGCATTTGGAAGTGGTGTAGATCACAGGACCTTATCACCACAAGAAGACAGTCTTAAAAATCACAAAGTTCCCTGCCTTTCAGCAGAATCTGTCACTACCTGATGTACATTAGATGTTCGTTATACAGTCTCCCAATTTTCATCTTTGAATACTTACATTAGTTCAGCTCAAAGTTCTTTTTCCATGCTAGTCTTGTCAGCATGAATATGTGCGAACTGTAGAACTGTCTAACCTCTGCAACCGTGCCGAAGCAACTGAAATTACACATCAAAACATCAGTAAGTGTCTTGCAACCTGGACTCGGAGAAGCCTCCTTAATTAACTTTCCCCAGTATAGGTTTCCTGATAAATATGTAGCTTACTGAGATATTTTAATACCTAAGCTTATTTAATATTAATTACCTGCTCCTCTTTTATATGCTGATATGCTAAAATAGTAATACATACAGTATTATTCAATCTTAAATATGAACAAACGGGTGAGTGCCAGCATGGTGCGGTGCATTGAAATACAGTATCACTCTGGAGACAAGGGTACAAATCTCCACTCGACTAGAGTAACCCACTGGGTGACGTTGGACAAGTCATATTCTAAAGAAGGCAGAGGCAAAATCTTGCCAAAAACCCCAGGATAGTTGTGCTTGTGCATTTGGGTCCCTAAAAGTTAGAAACAACTTGAAGGCATGTAATCTAACAAGTGAGCAGGATTGGGTTTTTTTCTCGGTTCTCTCTCCACTCTGAGTCAAACAATATACAATGTGTAGTGAGAGGTGGTGGCAGTAATCCTTTTAGATGCTAACCATCATCTACACAAATGTCCAGGATTCAAAGGAGTCCATGGACACATGGGCCAGATTCCCTTGCCCCATGCCTTAGAACAAATCTGGAACAAGACCATTCAGGCATGTTCAATATATGGCTGTCAGGCTGTTACAGCCACCCACAGACATCTAATGGGGTTGAAGTTAGGGACATGTTTGTTTAAATTATTCATTCACACAAAGGGTTATCTCCCCCCCCCCCCCATCCCCATTGACACACCATATAATTTTTGATGGAGAGAGCAAGCTAGTACAACACACTTTTGGATCTTTGTGAGGTCTGTGCAAAGATCCTACAGGATATTACTGAAGTGTGTGCGCTGCTATGGCTGGTGCTTCTCCTTGTCTGCCTGCACTCTTCTGCAATCCACTACATGGCTGAGCCAGGGGACTGAAAAAAGGGTGAGCTTGGCCTTCATATGGTGGGAATTCAGTTCTCAAGTCTAGTTGGAGGATTGAGAAAAAAATGAAAGATTCTCCTCACCAGGGTTTTCAGACACTCAAGAATTTTCTCTCTCATTTCTTGTTCTTGAGTTGTTGAATATTTTCCATTGCTAGTTGAAGGTAGGGCAGGCATATTACTCTGATGGGGAAGGAAGATGTTTTCTGGCTCCCAACCATGGCACTGGTGTGTGGAGTCAGAGCTTTTCAATATCTGATGTTGTGGTACACTTCTGGAAAGGGTGGTGTGTATCTCCTATAGCCCAGTTCATTGAATTTTTTAGAATGCATGTATTAACCACAACAACTAAAACATGGTAAAACCAAAACAAAGTGGTGTTTTTGTGACACGTAATACATAGATACATATAAATGTTTAGATAGAGCAGTGGTTCTCAACTTGTGAGTCCCCAAATATTTTGGCCTTCAGTTCCCAGAAATCCTAACAGCTGGTAAACTGGCTGGGATTACTGGGAATTGTAGGCCAAAACACTTGGGGACCCACAGGTTGAGTTGATTGTGCTTTCCATCCTTGAAGGCAGTAGGGGGTTGGACTAGATGGTCTTTAGAGGTTCCTTCCAGCACTATTATTACTATTAATATTATTAAGACTGGATGGCCATCATCTGTTGCAGGTGCTTTGATTGTGCTTTTCCTCCATGAAGGCAGAAGGGGTTAGATGGCTTTTAGAGGTCCCTTACAACTCTAGGATTCTATGAAAGGAGTCTTAGTCACCCTGAGCCAAACATGAGCCAAGAGTATGCTGCACTTGAAAAGGCCAATGCCATTTTAGGCTGCATCAATAGGAGAAGCCTGAAAGAAAGCAAAAGGGAACTGATATGACACTTTCCCACCCTCGGCTTATACTCGAATCAATGCGTTTTCCCAGTTTTGTGGTAAAATTAGGTGCGTCGGCTTATATTCGGGTCGGCTTATACTCGAGTATATACGGTATTCTTCTGTATTTTCCCCAGCTCCTAAAAAAGATATTTGCTGTCTATACCTATTATGACTTAATTTAATGTGCTTTCTTCCAGATATTATCTTCCAGATATTAACTCCCAGTGTACAAATATTTTTACATGAAATGAAACCAGAAACTAAGCTGGATTTGCTATATAAAACTGAAAGGTTCTCTTGTACTGAGCAATGGAACTTTTGTTTTCAAAATGTTCATGTCATACCATCAGTTGCCATTTTCCGTGACTGTCCTGATGTTGTAGTTAACCTGAATCCAGCTGGCAGTGTTTCTGAAGAACCAGGCATCATGCTGATCCCATGGACTTCACGTGGAGGAAATTGTCTTCGCCAGGAAGAACCGCGCCTATAATTCTTGTCATCACTCTGTTGATGCACAAGTGTTTGGATTTTACTAAAACAGACAACTGTTACAAACTCTAACAAGGCCACCAAAGTAGGCAAATGCTGACTGGAATGTTGTGGGGGAATCTACAATTACCCATTGCTAATCTAGATCATCATTATATTATCATTTTTCTTTCTGTATATTTTTAAAGGCACTGTTTTGCTTGTCACTAATCCAAGATTCTTATTTCTAGTACTGCTTGCATGTTAGCATTTTCATGTATGCATATGGATGGTTATATGTTGGCTGCCTAGAACTGCTGAAATCACTAACAGTGTAGCAATTTCTCCATTCATTGTTACTAACAAAAGGCACTAGAGTATATATAGATTAGCACAAGCAGTCTATTAACATCCGTTTATCGTAAATTCTCCTTCATCTGTTCCAAATCAGTTTTGCTATATATTCTATTCTACAGTAAAGTTGGGACCACCATAATGGTTAATTCCATCCCATATATCCTTAGTGTGATGAAACATTTATAGTTAATACTGATAGTATGCCACTCTAGTGAATAAATTATGGACATATTGGGGGGAAAGATCTGCAGTCCCATGTGAAGACATATAATTGTTTTGGAAGCGTCAAGTTTACTAACTGAGAGCATTTTAAGACTTTTTCCATCCTACAGGCACATCTTTTCTAATGCAAATTGTTGATAGTCAGCACTTATTGTTATTTGCTGTTCAGAACCTGATATGTATGAGTAATGCTACTTACTTCATCAAGTCGCCTATCTGTTCCTAGTGCCAACAGGTTGTTGTATTCTCTTTCGAGGATCTGTCGTGCCTAATATTAACCAAATCAAACAACAAAAGTAAATAAATGAACAAAATGGACAAAAATCTGCAGGGATTAATTACAATAACTTGTTAATCTGCCTACCTGTGTATTCTGTGTTGGAATCTGCAATAATAAAGCTAAACTGCTATAATCAAAGTTATCATCCAGTCCTATGAGTGATCCATGAACACCACTTTCTAGGACATTGTTTGCATATTCTCGTAGCCCAATTGCTTGTATCCAGCGTATCACCCTGTCATTACTCCACACTAGCACATCTGCAAGAAGAAAGAGAAACATTTCATAATGACTGAACTTTCAGAAGTCTGTGGCTGTAGGGAGATGTAGAAGAATAGTCAGTTCTCTATCACTTTGAGAGACAACACTGTGTAAGAAAAATGGGGTTCTATGTGGGGAAAACATTTACTGCTTATGTAATTAATTCAAACCTTTCCGTGTGGGCCTCTACAATTGCAATGAGAGGAATGCAGTGGCATTGCAATCTATACCCTGATTTAATCCACAAAATAGCCACATAACTAGTGAGAATTATGGGGAAACTATACTAACTGTCCTACTGGATTATTTGTTCCATTTTAGAGTGTAAAATACCAGCATGTTTATGGCCTAAACTCTCAGTTACATTTTGTCTTCCCTGTTAATTGGCCATAGGTCAACAAGATGATATGTCTCAGGCAATAGGTTAAACAAATGCAAACGAGTTATTAACAGGTGCAGTGAATCAACAAATCAAACATCTCAACCAAAAACATAAACAGGGAAGGAGAAAGGGTGAAACCTTATGTTTTATTGATACTGTCTGATATCGTTTGCACTGAAAATACATTTAGTCTGACTCCTGAGGCTTAAAGGGAGAGAGTTTCAGCCATTGCAGAGGCCTTCCAGAAACTATCCACTTAATATAATTTGTTTTAACAATCTCATTTGGAATGATATCTGAGAACACTTGTACATCATACTCAGGTGTTGAACCTACAAGGATGCTGAATCCAACAGAGGGAAATTTCAGAAAATAAGCAACAGAAGACAAAATCTGTTAGCAATGCCTTACCTTTTATTTCATGCTGACTTGCTTCTCTTCTCCTTTCAAGCTCTTTTCTGTCATAATTCAGCTTCTTTAAACACATGATTCCATACTGCAGACTTGTTCTGTTATTTAAGAAAAATAAGACATTACTCAGCAGGTAAAAATAAAACAATTTTGAAAATATGAAAAGTTTTGCCTAACATGTTTCATAAAGATTGAATATTTTCTATCTTGATATTAACATGACACAAAAGGAAGAACAATGAGCAAGTGTGTGCATGTATGTACACATGCATATCTCTTTCAAAAACAGTATTTAGATTTAAACATTTGGCTCCATAATTTTAGCATTTTGTCTTACGCTATAAATATACAATGCTAGCATACCGATGAAAACTGTCCACCATTTTTAAGTGAACACGGAGATCCTTTTTTGTCAAGTGGTCTAACATCCTTGCATCTACCAAGCACTCCATAAAGTAACTTCTGTATTGCGGTAATCCCAGGCTGGGAAGCCATTCATTACCAATCCATTCATGGTTCATGTCACCATACGCCAGAGTCTGTTTGGGGAGAAAAAAAAGCAAAATATAACTTCTGGCATCAAATATAACAATAAAAACAAACTTGGTTCTCTTAATTTTTATGATCCCTCAGTTATATAATATCCTTTATGTAATGTCTATGAAGAGAACAGTTCCAATCAATGTCTAATTTAACAAATGACATGGAACGGGAATGAAAATACATTATAAACACATTATATGGAGAGATCTTTTGTCATGGACAGAAACACATTGTGTGAACAGAGATAAGACTGGTGGCAAAACCTCCAAGAAAAATACTGCCAAAGTACACTCAGTAGTTGCATCCAATGTAACACCAACTGAGAAACTGACATTCAAGTAACTACTGCACAAGAGCCAATAAAAAGTGAATCCAGTTTGCATGAGCATATAATGAAAGCTGTAACAATTTGTGAAAATGATAGTGCAAGGGCTGCACATTCATTAATATAAGTAGAATCGAAATATCAGACTTAGTACTTACATAAGAACAAAATCCAGTTTTAAAAGGTGATAGAAGTTTTGTGTAAAAGGATTGCAGGCTGGATAAGTATTTATAGTTGGTCTCTCTGTAGCTGATTGATTTTGGAGACTGGCTTTCAGATATATAGTAATATAGGCATGTTGAAAATTTTAATTACAGATTAGAGCCAAACCCAGACAAAAGGAAAAGGCACAGTAAAAGCTGAAGTGTCCCCTGGGTTTCTAAGTAAAGTTATGAGCTGTTGAGCTGCCCAATCTCACTGCTTGAAACTAGATAGTACTTAAAATTACTATTCCTGCTACACCAAGCCTTCTCATTCTAATTATTGCAATTATTGGCATAATGCAATGCTATTCCATAATCTAGCACTAAAGTTGTATGCTACAAGTTGCTTCTGGTCACTTCTACGCATACCCAGTATGGAACACATTTCACTATGCTAAAACAGTGGATATGGCTCTTAATAAGACATGCCACATTATCACAGGATGTCTATGCCCTACACCACTGGAGAAATTATACTGTTTAGCTGGTATTGCACCACCTGACATCCGCCGGGAAGTAGCAGCCAATAACAAAAGGACCAAGGCAGTGACATCTCCGGCCCATCCCCTGTTCAGATATCAGCGAGCATGCCAACGCCTTAAATCAAGAAATAGTTTTCTAAGATCTGCAGAGATGCTTGAAGGAGCACCACAGCAAGAGAGTCCAAAAGCGGCTGACTAAAACCCGGAACCTCAATCCATGGCTGATACCGGATGAGAGACAGAAGGCTGGGAGACTTGGAAGGTGCTGAACAGACTGCCCTCTGGCACCATGAGATGCAGAGCTAACCTTAAGAAATGGGGCTACAAAGTGGAGTCCACAACATGTGAGTGTGGTGAAAAGCAAACCACCACAGACTACCTATTACAATGTAGTCTGTGCCCTGCCACATGCACAATGGAGGACCTTCTCACAGTGACACCAGGGGCACTACAAGTGGCCAGTCACTGGTCAAAGGGCATTTAATATAAAGCCAAAATTTTAAACTTTGTGCTTTCTAAATATATTACAACTGTACCCTCGGTTCGCTTCTGATATGATAAATAAATAAATCTAGCACTAAGAATAAGTTAAGTCAATCTGGAGAATTTAATTCTATGTTAACTGCCACTGTGGTAGGGAAAAAATATCCGACCACATTCTCCAAAAGTCAATGGAGTCACATCACTGGACTGTGTGTTTTAAAACTACTTGTAGAGAATTTTTTGGCAGGGGGAGAGAGTGACGAAGGTGTTTGTGGAGTAGTAGCTCCAAGCTAAGTGTGTAAATGAAACAGACAGGTCTCAGTGCCTGTTAATCCATGAAGTCGTGGGGAAGTTCTGGCAGAGCCTAAGATATAACTAAAAGGATAAAGCCATTTATTCTTTAAAACATATGAATTTCTCATTTTAAGAAAGCATATTAAATCAAGCACTGTATTCACAACTGGCATATCCATAGAACAAGACACTTCACTATAGTTATATACACTAGAAAAGTGTTAAATTGGGAAAGAGTCATACCTGAGCCCAACTGCCTTCCTCGTTCTCTTTCTGGAATATAGAGCACAAAAAATACAGTATGAAGAAAACAGCATTACTCAAAATTCAGGATGAAACTAGATAGAAAAGGAAATATCTTATAATCTTGTTTGTCTTTGAACAATGATATTTCCTCAGAGTTACGCTATGCAAGAATCAGGCTCTTTCAAAGTAAACAAACAATTACCCTTTAATGACCAAGCAGAAAAGAAAGCATACAAAATGGGTCTCCTTGTGGAGAGAAAAAGCAGGGTATAAATAAACATAAACTTAATAATAATGTGTAATACACAGATGAAGACAATCAGATGCAATAGTGGAGGAAAAACCTCTTCTAAAAACTAGAGTGCATTCTGAGCCTCAGTT